TTGGCCGAGATAACGACAGAATACGAGCTGCTGACGGACACAGAAGACAAGCTGCTGACGGAAACACTGGAAACAGAGCTGATGTACTAGTAGCACTGATAGTAAAGTACTATCTGCCATCCTCTTCTGTCTTCTCTTCCTAACACGTAACTGGGGGATATAACCAAGGTTGACATGGGAACACACAAGGTTATGACAGTGGGGACGCAGGTGATCATTCCAGACGCAAGAATATAACATCCGCAATCCTGCCTAAGCAGCTGTCACCCCTGTCTCATTCTCTCTCAGGTCTGGCTGGACGCAGTCAGCACTTGCCCTGGCTTCGCCTGTGGTCACTACCACCCGAGACTGCAACTGAAAGTTCTGTACACAATAAATCCCTCTCACAGGCGACTCCTTGCCTTTTGCCTTCAACCTTGGATTTTGCCTGATGATTGTAGTGATCCGAGTGCACCCACCCAGCGGGTCTTGCACAAGGACGCCGAACAAAGCAATATTGGGCCTCGGCAACAATAGTCACACATGTTATTCTGAGTTGGGCATAACATTGCGCTCCTATCAGAAGTGGCCTATAACTTACACCCCAGCTCAGAGACCGATCCAAAGACATCACATTCTAGTTGAGCTACCTATTTAATTCCGATAATTCGGGCGGCCCTACAGGAAAAGAAAACCCCGTTTCGGTTCTGGTAATAAGATAGCGTTAGCCTAACATAAAATTTTGGTTTATCTATTTTTATTTTGAATAATTATATATATGTCAATGAAAATTTAACTCAAAAGTTGAGTAAATCAATTAAAATGATCAGTGGTAGTGGACGAAGTCGGTTGCAGTTTCTTTCGCTCTTCATGGGCTTTTCATTTGCTCAGTGAATCCAAATGACCTTGCGTAGAAGTTGGGGAGGACGGGACCAGACCACGATTCGGAACGTAGGGAATTTGCCGGTCCACCATTGTAATGCAGTCTGGAATGGGGCAGACGGAGAGACAGAGGTTGCAACCTGTGCAGTCCTCCGTTACGACGGGGAAGTGCGACTTGGCGTCGAAGGTGATGGCCTGGTAACCGGAGTCGTTGCAGGCCATGTAACACTTTCCGCAGTTTATACACATGTCTTCATCCACTACCGCTACAACCTGGAATCAAAAGTATAGGGATTAAATAGATGACTAAAACTATACTACTTCCTTGATTTCAGTAGATCGTTATTTTAAAGTTAAGTTAAAATGGGTGTAAATATCTTAGGGCAAATACAGTGAACGTGTTGTACGCTGTTATTTCGCCTCACCTTTTTCACCATTCACCCTTCATTATTATTTTTAGGTGGTTTAAATGGAAATAAGAGAGTTCACCAGAAAAGCAGTCCAAATAGATCTAAATTTGCAGAGTGCTCTCGCAAGATGCATTCAACAGTAGATTGTGTAACTCATGAAATGTGAAGATGGAAATTATAAGGGGGGAGCGGTTAAAACATAGGTTTTAGGGTGTTTATTCGGTTCAATGAATTGACTTGGGGTGCAAAATGTTGTTTTCTAGAAAACAGTTCCGTTAGCTATCGGCCGATAGCTGCAGGGTTCTTCCGCTGATCCAGTCACTGCGGCGCCG